TACTCGGCGGATCACCTCTACAACAGATCTCCGGTAAGAACACTTCACATAGAAAGGGGGCTCAAAATCTAACAATTATTTGCATGCAATGTTGACCCCCTTTTGAGTAAGCAAATTATATGTCTCACAACAATTTTTATTTTATTTTTAGTTAGGTGATATTGTTAGAACTTTTCTTTGTTTGACGGGAGGGCCTTGTCGCATTTGGAGATTTGAAGTGTTAATTATTTGTGTATTTGGCTTTGCGTCGTTTGCTTACATTTTCTAACCAATTTGTGTTAAACTAATAATGTGTTTGGAAAATGTGATTTAGTAGAGAGTAGAGAAGAAAAAAAGGATTACCAAAGAAATAAAAAAAATGTGTGTTTGGAGAAGGAGATTTAAGTGTATTTGAGATAATATTGTGGTTAGACTCCCATGAATTTTATTTTATTTTCTTATGAGTAGATTTGTGCAAAATTTTCATACAAAAATGTTTGGACAAAACTACCCCAGACTACTGTCTAAATGTATATTTGCATAAAGTTAGTAAAGGGTAAAAAGTATGATTGGCTAAATAATTTTTTTACATAAAATTTAACTATATAAAATACAATTTTAAGATACCAATTTCTCTTTATTTCTCACCTATTTTCGCTATGTCAAAAACTACATATTTCACTATTTTCCACTCTATTTCCTACCTATTTCTTATCATATCAATTCTCACTTATCTCCCTTCATTCCCTTAAATTCTTTCCTCTCTCCACCAAACAAAGGACAAGATAACAAATTTACAAGCTATAATTTGTAGCTTAGTAGTTGTGCATTTTTTTTAAATCTTGATGTGAATTATCATGGTAGAAAATGGTGACTAATTTATTGAAAATTATGAACATTCATAAGATGAGTATTTTTCTCACAACATAGCCTATTTTTGATTAAAAACCAAGATTTGAACCATGTGCAACTTAATTAAGAGATAAAAACTGCTACTGTACTACCTAGCTTGGACCATGCTCGGTAGAGCCGGATAATCATCGTCAACTCGCCCATGATGGGACTCTAGGCAAGGTCCATGAAGTAAACAGTAAGCAAACTCATGCCAAAAATCCTCTAAAACAAAATTGCTCAATGTGATCCAAGTCATGTCCGACGTCAATCCTTTACCAAAACAACATCAATGTAGTGATATGCGAGACAACACTCTTGTTTAGTGTTGAGAAGTCAAAGACTTCTTTGGCATCCATGTGCCCAACCTAGCTCACTCCATGCTAGGGTAGAGAACTGTTTATCGTGCCCAACTGTCATAGATAGAGGTGTCAAAGTGAGTTAACCTAACTCATATGGGTTGGCTCACCATGGGTTGGTGATTTAAACAGGTTAACCCAACCTGGCTTACTTTCTGTTGAGCTAGAAAAATCCCAACCCTACTTAACCCACCACTCGTAAGTGGGTTAGATGGTTTGGTTCATCATATTTTTTAAAATAAAAAAATTTACATGTTCCTATTTTTAATAAATAAAATAAAGACTTATAATTTTTTCTATCAAGAAATCAAGTTTATCATTAATTTAAATGCAAATATATAAGAAAGTATCACACACACACACACACACACATATAATTTGTAGTGGGTTAAAAGAGCTAAACAAACTCACTTAGGCTTGAATCCATTCGACTCACGAGTTAAGCGAGTCAGGTTGAAATTTAGTCAAAATTGGTATACCTTTCTTTTCCTAACCCAACCCAATCTAAACTCATTTTAAGTTGGGTTAACCCATTAGGTTGGGTTCATTTTGACACCACTAGTTGTAGACTTTGCACTTTGTAGAATCACAAGTACATGATCTAGGTTCTCCCAAAACCCATCTAGACACTTCCATTGCCTCTTTCACTCAAACATTTGGTAAAATATTGTATAAAATATATATAACACGAATCTAGGACCAATTCGTACAAATTCATCCAATTTCACAAGAAACTCCAATTTATACATTTTACCCTAACCTCCTACTAGTCAATTCTACACACCAATAATTCAATCATGAAAATTAAACCATATGCATCATACATCAACAGATTCATACATAGATCATATATAAATATTCATGAAATTTCATTTAGAAGCCTAAGAGGCTTAGGGACCACCTCACTACTCATACTCCTCATATGTGTCTATGAATTCTGTGACACCCTTACTACCCCAACATATATATTGTAATAATAAAACTAACAAATAAATTTTCAATCGTCGGTAAAAGGGTTCACATAAAAACCTTCACAAATGTTCTTCAATATCCAAAATGATTGAAAATAACAATTGGAAAGTAAAACTTAAGAGTTTACAAATTATTTTCAAAATAATAGATACAACTCCAAATCTATATAAAAAATCCATGTCCTAGAAATCCTCTGCCCCGATGTCACAATATCAGAGCATACCCATAATTCAACTGTTGGCATTCTAGATGCCACTCACAGCCGGATCTTCCTCACCTAAAACATCCACAAATTGTACGGTGAGAAAAGAAAACATCTATATGTAAAGCACATAAGAAAAACACAACATAATCCCATCTTTACTCATTACTTAATGAAATATTCACAAGCATTTATATATATCAAAATTTATCAATCATGCATCATCTTCACGTCATAACTCGCAATCACACCAATTCATCACAAATCTTGCAATTAATATTATCATTTTCGCATCCATAATTCACACAAATCTTACAATTAACACTATGCCAAGACCACGCCACAACTGACATAAGTGATACGGGTTAATTGCCTCACTCATCCCACACCATGACAAGGTCACGCCCTCCCTGTAGCATCACTTACCTAGGGGCCGTGCCATCCCTGGTCATTGTTGTGAGGAACCACAATCACATCACAATTCACACAAATCTTGCAATTAACCCTATGCCAGGGCTGCCATATTTGATATAAGTGATACGTGTTAATTGTCATAGCTCAATTCCATATCATATACACAATTCCATATCACATACACAATAGATAAGTCCAACAAAATAAGGATTTACACACCCTCAAGCAATTCACATCTAAATCATCAATTCTTAACAAGTAATATAACAATAACATTCATAAATTAATATAATAATCAATGGAATTATCAATTTAATATAATCTTAACATAAACGGTAAAACCCCCAATTATTCCAAAACCTAACTCACAGACACTTTTTTATAATTTCGTTCTCTCTCCCAGATCATCATTCTTACAAATTAAATATATATTTCTAATCCTCAACACATACAGAATCTAATGGAATCAACAATTCCTCAAACAAAAATAATTATAAAATTACTCATAACCTTAATGGACTCTTCCTCTACCCAATTCCCTCATGTAACTCTACATACAAATGATCCCCTTTTCCCCCGTACCTGGATAAACAGTAGCTGAAACTAAAACAAAGATCTCCTTGGTCTCCTCCTCTGAGTGCCCCTCGATCTTCAGAGAGTGTAGAAGGAAAAGAAGAGAATGTAGAATAAAGGAGTCAGAATTGAAAGAAGTCAGAACTGAAAGGTGTGCTTTTTGGGAGTGCCAAAACTCTCTATTTATAGGCATCAAGCGTCGCTAGAACGGTCCGTTTCAAATCTGGAACGGCCCGTTCTGGACTCTGACGACATGTGTAAAATTCACATCCAGAACGACCTGTTCTCAAACCAGAACGGCCCGTTCTGGGGTTGCATTTAACCCATAACGTCCATATTTGGAACGACCCGTTTTTAAACCAGAACGGCCCATTCCCAACTAGGGTTACAAGCCTTTTTCATAGTTTGGAACGCCCCGTTCCAATTTGGGAACGACCCATTCTGAGATACTAAATCACCCTCGTTTTAGTAGTTTGGATAACGGCCCGTTCTGGGCTACTAAATCACCCCTATTGAGCTTTGGGCCCTCGTACAGTCTATGAAAATTGGGCTGTTACAGATTCAACATCCTCACTTCCCCTCACCTCAATTATTACTCCAAACTTTCTTTGGTGGCTTCCTCTAAGTTCTCCTTTACATATACTCTTAGGCTTCAAAATAGATCCTTGAAAAAAGATCTACACCTTATTTTTTTTAATAAGCCTTTAGCTTGAACTCAAGAGTCTAACTTAAACTTTTTTTCTCTACCTATAATCCATTTTATTTTATTTTATTCAATAAAATATTTTAATTATATTTCTAACCTATTAATTTAATTAATAAATTTAATTTTTTTAATTATTTTATATATTTATTATGAGAAGTTTCAAAATAAGAATAAAAATGATACATTCAAAATACAAAAGATTAAAAAATATTAAAATAAATATGAAAAAGATATATTGAAAGAGATAGGTGATTAAAATATATTAAAGCAATATAAAAATGATGCAAAATATAATATTTACTTCTTTTTTTTTCTTCAAAATATTATTCTTTGATATTCAGTTACTTTTTGCTAAATAATAAATCATTGATAAAAAATATAATAGACAATATCAAAAACATGTTGAGAGAGGTGTGAAGTTCACCTATGAAAGAAAAATATTCAAATAATAATAAATATTTTTCTTATCCATTAAAATTATAATAACAATATTATAGTTTAAACTAAAAACTTTGTCGCCAGTACTCTAACCATCACTATTAACATTAAGTCAATCTGACTTAAATAATAATAAATATGAAAAAAAGGGAAGAGTTAAGCATTTTTAAAACAAATAATAATTATAATATATAATTATTAATTAATATAATTTTAAGTTAATAAACACATGTTATTACTTAAGTCAGATTTTTTTTAAATTAATATATTTTTCAATTTATATTCTTAAAATTTATTTAATTTTTTTTAGTTTAAAATACTAATACGATAATTTCTTTGATTATTAGGTGCTATTTATTTATTTATTTATTTATTTTTATATAATATATTTTCCCATAAAAAATTAATATAAAAAAAAAAAGAAAAACAGGACTGAATATAAAATGTTCTCCTTCTCGGTATTTCGAAACAAGATGAGAATCCCGCGCGAGAGTGATACCAATCCAACACAGTGAAACACACCCACGTCCCCAACCCACTCCCTCCTCAGTCCTAACCTTTCGTTCCATTTAATTTCACTCGCATTTGGCATTTCATTTCGTCACCGATCTCGAATGGACGAAGCAGAGAGAGTGCACCACCCTCAGCCTCCGAAATTAGGGTTTCCCCTCCCCGCCGGCGACGCCAAACTCCTCACCGGCCTCAGCACCATCCTCGTCGCGTCCATCCAAGAGGCCAAAGACCGTATCTCGCAGATCGAGTACGTCTTCTGCTCCCAGCTCTACCCCGACTTCCAGGCCAAACGACGCCGCATCGACCAGCTCGAGCGCGACGCCGACGAGAGCATGGCGCTGCACAAGAGCCTCCTCGAGTTGGTGCAGTCCAAGGACTCCGCGCTCAGGGAATCCGAAGTGAGTCGAAACGCCGCGTTTTCCGAACTGGAGAGCTGCGAGAACGAGAAGGCGCTTCTGTCCGCGAGAGTCCACGAGTTGGAGGAGAAATTGCGAGAAATTCAGGAGGCGGAGTCCGAGCGCGTTCAAGAGGAAGGGAAGCTACTCGAGCGCGTGGAGTCGCTGACGTGTGAGTTGCAGGCGGAGAAGGCGAAGAGGAATCGGGTGACTGAAGCGTATAAGAGGCTTAAGTCTCAGCATGTTTACCTTCGCCGAAAGTTTGGTCTCGCTGAGGAGAATGTGGCTCACCACAAGAAATCGGAGTCTGGAAGTGAATTCGGCACGCATCAGAGTCCAATCGTAGAACCTGGTATTTGCAAATTTTGTCTTATGTGTCGTAGAAAGTAGTTTATTAGTAAACACCCGTTCTGGTATCTGATTTTGGATAACACTGCTACATTGGTGCTTGGAACTAAGAAATTATGAAATAAGTTCCTAAAATGTCAAATTAGGCTTTAAACTTAATTATTTATTTACTTTTATTTTGATTCCTGAATATATATCAGTATTATAACTCTAGCTACATACTTTTCGAGTTTTGGACTAATATGCTGTGAATTTGTTGTACTTTTAGGGACGTTTTTTACAATTTTAAATTCAGAGACTAATATGATAGTCTTCTAAATTTAGGACCTATTTGAGTGTTTATTCAATAGTTTATCATATGTTTTCAGGTTATTTGTGGTTCCGTTTATGAAACTGTTCTAGTTTTATGAAGAATTAAAAATTTTTCCATAAGGCACTTAAGAACATCTCTGATGCTAGTTCTTATGAGATTACTAGATTTAAGAACTAGTTCTCACGTAGGTAGTTAGGTTTACTATTGGAGGAGGCTGATATCGCTTTCAGCTACAAGAACAAGTTTTTATACAGGCGACCGGTAATTATGATTTAAAAAAATAATTGTGAGATACTTATACCGCTGAAGTATAAAATCGATAGAATTCTTAAATTATGTGACATAGGGCGTGTTTGTGGAGATGAGTTAAGAATCCAACATCTTAGTTCACCATTGGAGAGTTTCAAAGAGAATGAAACCATCTTTTCCTTTTTGTGGTTTAATTCCTTTTTCCTTATGTTGAAAAATGTCATTTTAGTGGAAAAACCAAAAGAAACACCTGGGCTGTGTTTGAATGTATAGTGGTGAGTCGAATGGAATAGGATGAGATATGATGGAATGGAATAAAGCAAAGTTACTATTTCAATGTTTAGATGCTTTTGTGATGGGATGGAAAAAAAGGACTAACAATTAGAAAGTGGGATATTTGATATATGTTTTTGGGTTATTTGTAGGTCTGTTTATGGATCCTTCAATTGAAAACTGTCGCTTCAGCTTAGAAATAACTAAGGCCGTGTTTAGATATTTAATACTGAGTGGAATGAAATAGGATGAGACGAACGGAAGGGAATAAAGTAGAGTTATTATTTCATTGTTTAGATAGTTTTGTGCCTAGTTGCTGATCTTGAGTGACAACTTGTAATAATTATCGAGTTTACAAGATTGGTCAGTTTCACTTATATAATTCGGAAGCAAACACATTTTTGAGCAATCTTGAGTAATCTCGTCCCCTCTGTTTCTAAAAGCAAAAATTAGTCTTTTCTTAGATTTTTATTTGTTATTTTAAGAACTTGTGTTTTGTGTGAAATTTTGCATGATTTACTACTAGGCATTACTATTTTAATATTGTAATTTGCTATTTTATTTTAATATAGAGTTGAAATGTTGAGTTATTATATTATTTATAAGTATTATACTATTATAACATATTTTTTATATTAAGTAAACTCTTACAAGTTTACTATTTGAGTGTATGGAGCCTCAATGAAATTACGTGAACTCTTGGAATTGACGACCTTAATTTTGTGATGGGATGGGAAAAAGTAGTTATTCCATGCTTCTTACCCCAGAAATGAAGGGTAAAATGAAGGGTAAAAGGAAGTGTTGGCCAGATTAAATTGTAATACATTTCATTAGGCTCCATTCCATTCCAACATATTTTAAACGATCAATATAATGAAACCTATTAATTCTATTCCATTCCTGTTCAAATTATCTATTGCATATTATTGCAGATCTTGCATTTGAGAACCCAAATATGACTATGGGTGCTTGTGAAGCAGCTGAAGTGAGGAACGAAATCACAGAGGTAGACTTCGGAGGTAAATTGAGTTGTCTCTTGCAATGTGCACGGTCTTAATGTTTACTCAAGCATAGTTATCAGAATCTTACAATTCACGATTTCAATCTTACGATTTAGGGTGTGTTTAGATATCCATTTCAAAGTATTGAAATGTCTGTTTTCACTTTCTAATTCATGAAATCCAAAAGCAATAAGATTATTGTTTTGAAGTAAAAGTGAATTGAGTTGAATTCAACTTTTATCCAAACACATACTTAATACAATTTGACTATCGACCGATTTGTATCATAAGATAAATCTGAGATAACTTTATATCTTACGATACATGAATGAATTTATGCAATTTCGTATCATTGATATGATTCACATGATTCAACAATTCATCATTTTTTTTTCCTTTACTTTCCTTTCACCAATTATCATGAGAAATATCATGAGAAAATTGAATTGTCATATAAGCTTAATATGTGAAGAAGAATTGAAGGAACACTTTTGACCTTATCGTATTTGATTATTTCACTAATTTGTTTGCCACTGACTCATTCAATTCATGTTCTCCACTTAGCTATTCAATGCTTTGATACTCTTCTTTTATCCTATTTGATTATTTCACTAATTTGTTTGCCACTGACTCATTCAATTCATATTCTCCCTATTTAATGCTTGGGTACTCTTCTTTTAAAATAAAGGCTTTACATACTTAGATTTAACTAATAATTGTGTTTACAAGACTTATAGTTAAGTTATTTTATCTGTTTTTAGTATATATATATATTTTTTTATATTGAACAACATATAACATTTATATGATATATTTGAAGTATTTTTTTTTGGTTGTCTTTGAATCTTACGATTTGATTTAAATTATGATTAATGATTCAAAAATTAGCTAGCAATTCACGATCGGAATCTCGATTGGATAACCTTGTACTCAAGTGTCTTGTATGAAATGGCCTTCTTTTTGGTCCATCTGTATCAAATTACATATACATAGATTTTGTTGGCTAATTGCTATGTTGAGTTAGACTTGCTAACTCAATATCCACTTCCTATTATTTCAGGCCTTGAAATGGAAATTCCTGATGTGTTCGTTTCTGCACATGACATAAATGAAGTGAAGAAGACATCTGAGGATGACAGAGGAGTCAATTTGAGTTCGTCTTCTGGTTTTCGAGATGTCCCAAAATGTCCATCCAGTACAAAATTAGTCCCTGTATCTAGTACAAAGCGGCCTGCTTCTTCCTGGAGGCATACCCGGTCCCATCAAAGTCGAGTAGGACCTGACCCTCATGACGATTTTCTTGATACTCCTCTAGAGAATATCAGAGGGAATTTAAATAAGGATTTGAATAAAGAGGACCTCTTACCCCTGGTTCAAAAAGACATTAGCTTAGACGACTCAGATGATGAAACGCAGGATGTAAATGCCAAAAGCAGTCCTCAGAAGAAGCAAAAACAATCTTCAAATGAAGATGACGAAACACAGGATATGAATGTCAAAAGCAGTCCTCAGAAGAAGCAAAAGCAATCTTCAATTACAGTGACCAACAAAAGAAATTTCAAGTACGTTGAACCAGTGAGGAAGAAAGCTGAGCGTGAAAATTTAAAAGGAGTTGAATGCAAACAATGCAGGAAGTTCTATGATGCTGTTCTTCCTAATGCTGATGGCAAGGATGCCGACAGCAGTAAGCAGAACTTCCGCTGTGAACACCTTGATGGTGCTTCTAGGCATCGATATAGGTATGTTCCACCTATGACTCCTGAAGGATTTTGGAATATTGGATTTGAATCTGAAATGTAATTAGCTGGATTACTATTTGATTTATAAGTGGATTCTGTATCCAATTAAAACTGGCCAATTTCAGTTTATTGGTAAATCTAGAAAAAGGACTTTTAGGAACCTTGGCCATTGGATGTATCATCGGATATCTCATCTCATAATGCATTGAGGCAAAAAAATTTCCTCCCTAGTTCATACAGTGGGCATGCTTAACCCGGCTTGGACGAACGCATGTACTAATTGTTGTAGTTGTAGATACATTTTTCCAACAAGCAAATAAACTTTTTGTTCCCACTTCCCATTTATTATAAAAAATTAATCCATCGTACCATATTCTTCTAGTCAGTATCCTGCTTCTTTGTGCTTGGAATTATTTCTTATTTATTTATGTTCTTGTGTGTATATTCCTGAAAAGGAGGCAAGTCTTTAAATTCTTTAGCCTCTGGTCCAAATTGTCCGTGGTTAGTGTTGTAAAATTACTTCGTGTATTTTCATTTTCTTTTTCTTATCCCGCCCGCTATTGAGTGGATTTTGGTTTGAACGTCGCACTTTAATGGGCTTTTTGGGGATCCGTCATTTTAAGTCAGCCTCTTTAATATACTCTTCAAATGATTGGACTTTGGAGTGGTAGAAAGCCAACTCATTTCATTCTGTGGCCCGTGCAACAAGCCCAAATGAAACCAACTATGCCTATTGTCTTGTAAAGCTTGAAAAATGAGAATGGTATTGTGTTGGACCAATTGACCAAACAGGAAGAAAAGGGTAGAATGTACGTTGGTGAGGGTAGGCTGACCCGCTGAGGTTCACCGTCACTAGTGTAGATGTTCTGAATCTGTTGTGAAATCGTGCTTTGCTGTTTTTCCAGCAGATAAAAATGGGTCTAATCCAATTTGTTCAACGGTATCATCCCTCCAAACTGATGAGTTAAATTACACTTTTTTAACTTGTACAACCCGTTAAGTCAGTTAACTTACAAATTGAATTGGGTTGGATTGACCCATTAAATTGATTTATTAGTTTGACTTATATTTTTTTTTTCGAGTTTTATTTAATGAGAGTTATTTATAGTATTTTACTAGTACATAATTTTTTTTATGAAGACTTATTTATGATTGTATTGTATATTTATTTTATTATAATTGACAAATTTATTTTTGAATGTATTATGAATTTATTTTATTGTGGTTGATATTTTATTTTATTTTATTAAGTACATGTTTAATTGAATATGTGAATAATTTGGTTTAGTATTAGTTTTATAATAATTTGTTCTCTTTTTTAATCCTATTTGATTATAAAATTTGAAAAAAAAATGAATGAAAATAGTTTATAAACTTATTTAATGAGTTGGCGACTTAACCTAACTAAACTTGAAAGCTACTATAAATTGGGTTGTGTTGAGATTTTAACCAATTAGAAATAGGTCCAAAGCATTTTTCAACAGGTTGAGGCTGGTTCGGTGTGTTTGACATTTCCAATCGGTTAAATTGGCCAATCCGATCCTGTCTCGATAACTATGTTAAGTGCACTAATTTGAATTGCTTTCATATGTGTCATTTTCTAACAGTTATATGATTATTATTATTTTTCTGGGGGTGGTGGAAAAACAGAACTCTGATAAACCATAATAGGAAATAATAGAATTGATGTAAAATGAGGATATAAAAGATTCCATAATTACAATGCCCGAGAAGGGATAAAGTTAATAATGCATGAAACACAAATTGCGGTGGCTTTTTTACTAACTTTCTCCTGTCTACATCACATGATAGGATTCGCATTTTCTATTGTAATATCGGATACGCATTTATTTCTTCCCCATGTTAAATTTTAGGGTTGAGAAAGCCTTGTGATGGCCTGGTCTTCTCCTTTTCAGGAATCTTAAAATGTAGTAGCTCAGAAATAATCTTAATTAAAGAAAGGAATGTGATCACATGTAATTTTAGTCATGTTTAAACGCCAAACTGCAATGATAATCTTGGAAAAAGAAAAAAGCTGCTGGCTGCTCAGGCAATGTAAAATGTGAAAATAAGTAAAAGACAGTTTAGAGAGTGAAAACCACATAATCATCCACTTGCAGAGAGGGCCACCTAAAATGTAGGCATTAATGAGGTGGTGGGCCGGGAACAATGGTTTTTTGCAAGAAAATGTGTGGGCCAAGCTTACTTTGTGGTTGGTGGAGTATAGTATAAAGTACTGCAATCCTTTTAGTGCCGAACCATTCATTTCTTGATATTGTTTTTACCTTTAAGCATGTGTTTATGGTATAACTATTTGCGCAAAGTTAATGAATATGGGAAGGGATGAAGGACATCAACATGTGCCCCCTAAAGTAGTAGTAGTAGTGCTGTATTATTTTATTGACTAAACTTTCAATTTGAAAAAGAAATGTTTAACCCTAATTAATTAAAAATGGAGAAAAATCACGATTAAGATTACAAATGTGAGACTTTATAAAATTATTCTTTAATTTTTGGTACATAGTTAGTTTCTGAAAAGTGAACATGTTCTAATTTATCTCTAAATCATTATAGACATATTGATTTTTTTTAAATATTATTAAAGATTTTACATTATAAAATAATGTATATAAATAATAGATAATTTATCTATAATTTTGCGGAGTTGGATTAAATTCAAAATTCACATCCTAAGAAATGATAATTGAAATGGACGACGAATTTATGTTTGTAATGTCGATATATTGTAGCTTTTTATCTTTGAGACTGAATTCAGTTGAGCGATTTATTTTTTGGGAATTAACGTAGGTAATTGCTCTTTTTATTTTAGTTCACTTCTGGCCTCTTGGATTTTCAGGAATCAACAATGGCAAACAAGTTATATTATGAATGCACTATAATTCATTTCACATATATTATGGTATAGTGATAATACTTGAAATGTTACCAGTATTACTTCCTCAACACAGCTTGCCTCTAGTATGCTGAGAGAGACGAGTCTGATTCCATTGAATAAGCATGTTAAATTATGATGCAAATTCTAGAAAAGAAAAAGAAAATTCTAGAAAATATAAGATAAGATGTATAAGTCTCTAAAAAAATTTAAAAGAGTGTAGAGACTTGAAGAGTTTAAAAATTCTAAATATTTCTACCATTATCGAAAGATGGAACATCATACCTATAAATAGGTAAATTAGGACTTCATTGTAACAACAACAACAACAACTACTATTACTATTCTCTAAATTCAAATAAGTTCCTATTATTCACTACCAACTACTATTCAACTATCATACACAATTTCTCAAGACTACTCACGTACCTATCATTCTTCCAACAAATAAAACTAATTTCTTTTTTATACTTTTAAATTCTAATAGTGGTATCAGAGCCTGATTTGGTCATCTATTAGGGGTAGAAAAATTATCCTACTACTTCCAAAAACTTTCCTTCTACACTTCTAAAATCTTTCTTAACCCATGGCCTCTAAAAATATTAACTTTTCATCCGTCCCTTTACCAGTTTTTACCAGTGAAAATTTTGACCTTTGGAAACTCAAACTAAAGGCATATTTTATCTCACAAAATATGTGGGATATTGTTCAATCTGGTTATATAAAACCAAATAATACTATCACTCTATCTAAGGAGGAGCATAAGAAGTTAGAAGATTACGAACAAAAGGATGCCAAACATTGTTTGTTCCTCAACAATTTGTGAGAGAAACTATTGCTAGAAGGATCATGGATGCAAATACTACAAAAAAGGCATGGGATATTTTGGAAGAAGAATTTGAAGGTAATGAACAGGTACACTCCGTCAAACTATACTATCTAAGAAGAGAATTTGAGACCATTAAAATGAAGGAATTTGAGACCATTGAAGAATATTATGGAAGAATAAAAGAAATAGTTAATAAAATAAAATTATATGGAAAAGAAATTAAGGAGAAGAGAGTGGTAGAAAAAATTCTTATCACTCTCACGAAAAAATATGATTCAATTGTAGCTTCCATAAAAACTTCCTCGGATGCATCTTCTCTATCAATAAATAAATTAATTGATCTCCTCGGAGCGCACGAAGCAAGATTAAATAGTCGTGTCGATATAGATTTAGTTGCAAATGCATTTCAATCAAAGCTTAAATTATAGTCTAAAAATAAAGAAGATGGAGGAAAAAAAATGTCGGAGAATACTCTAGAAATTTCTCTGGAAACAAAAAAGATAAATGTCCTTCGTGTGGTATTTGCAATAAGCCAGGACATGCAGAAAAAGATTGTTGGCATCGTGGGAAGCCAATATGTCATTATTGCAATAAACCTGGCCACGTGGAGAAGTATTGTCGTATCAAAAATAAGCATCAAGCAAACTTTGCTGAAGAGCGTAATCAGGAGCAACATCTATTATATGCTAATCAAGAATCCCCTAACAAAGAAGGAAGCTGGTACTTGGATAGTGGATGCAATAATCACATGGGCAAGGACCAAAGCATCTTCAAAGACATTGATAACTCCCTCAAAGTCAAAGTTTGACTGGGAAACGACACCATGGTGGAGTCTCAATGCAAAGGTACTGTCATGGTGGAGACAAAGAAAGGTATGAGGCTTATCAAGGATGTTTTACTAGTTCCCAATCTTAAAGAAAATCTTTTAAGCATTGGCTAGATGATGGAGAATGGGTATTCTCTTCACTTTGAAAGAGATATGTGCAAAATTTATGATAGTAAAAGGTTAGAGGTTGGCCAAGTAAAAACGGAGAAGAGAAATAAAAGCTTTCCCATAACCTTTAAACTTGGAACTAATATTGCCATGAAGATAGAAGTTGACGACTCATGGCTTTGGCATAAGAGATTTGGCCACTTCAACACACATGCCTTAAAGCTTCTATATTTGAAGAATATGATGAGAGATCTTCCATGCTTAAAAGAAAATAATGAATCATGCGAAGGATGTCTCCTCAGCAAACAACACCGATTACCATTCTCGACAAGCAAAGCATGGAGAGCAAAAAACTTATTGGAGTTGATCCATAGTGATGTTTGTGGACTGATGAGGACACTATCACACACCAACAACAGGTATTTCATGCTCTTCATTGATGACTTTTCTAGAATGATGTGGGTCTATTTCCTGAAGACAAAGTCAAAAGTCTTTGAAATATTCAAGAAATTCAAGGCCCTTGTCGAGAAGCAAAGTGAAAAATAGATAAAAACACTTAGAAGTGGTCGTGGCAAGGAGTATACATCTCGCGAGTTTGACAAATTTTGCGAAGATGAAGACATAGAGTGACAACTTATAGTTGCATATACTCCACAACAAAATGACGTGTTAGAGAGAAAGAATCGCATAGTCATGGAGATGGCGAGATCGA